ATTCAAATGCTATTCGGATGATGTGATGGCCCTTCAGGGAAGCAAAAACAGATTAGGGATAAAAGTCTGTCTGAGTTGTTTTGCCAGGCCATTTTGTCTGCAGCTCTCTGCTATTGATGGTGTCTCAGTGTCAGTTTAAAGGCGTCTGAGAAGCAGACATAACAGGATATACAGAGACAGGCACAGTTGGTACCTAAATAAAACACACTTCCTCAAGCGCACAGCTTTCTGTTGACGACAGCGACCACGGAAACAGCCATTAGTGCTCATCAAATGCTTCAAAGCTTAAGGCTGCAATGTGGGATTTCTTAAAAGTATATCACATGTCGACAGCGGTTAATTATGCTTAACCGAGCTGAATCTCGGTTCAGGACAAAATGAAATCAAAAATACAAAACTAAAAAAAAAAAATAAAATTTTTTTTTTTTTTTTTTTTTTTTTTTTTTTTTTTTTTTTTTTTTTTTTTTTTTTTTTTTTTTTTTTTTTTTTTTTTTTTTTTTTTTTTTTTTTTTTTTTTTTTTTTTTTTTTTTTTTTTTTTTTTTTTTTTTTTTTTTTTTTTTTTTTTTTTTTTTTTTTTTTTTTTTTTTTTTTTTTTTTTTTTTTTATTTTTTTTTTCCCTTTTTTTTTTTTTTTAATTTTTTTATTTTTTTTTTTTTAAAATTAATTAACAAATTAATAAATAAAGCAATGCACTATTAGAAGGTAGTAGCAATTAACAAAAATATGTATTTAAACTGTTTTCATCTTAAAATATGGGGCTTTTGAGGCCCCTGATGGTCTGCTTCCAGGCTGTCGTGGGTCATTTGATGAACTGTTGGTAATGTATACCAGTAAAGCAAACCTGTAACTCAACTGAAGTTATAAGGCCCTTCAAGACACATTTAGCAAGTACATGACCCAGTGTCTATTATTCCGTTTCTATGGAAGCTCTGAGGGGCGAGTGAAAAGAAAAGGTGAAAAAAAGGTTTTGCCAGAATTATCATTTAATTCTTTCTTTCTTTCTTTCTTTCTTTCTTTCTTTCTAGATTAAGGTTCCTTCATTTTATTTTCATCTCTGAAACAGGTGGGAAAAAATTTGGGGGTGAATTATTTTTTTTTTCTCTCTTAATTTAAGAGGCTGAAGTGCACCACTACCACATGTTCTAAATAGTAATAATAAATAATTATACCATTCACTCAAAAATATGTCACATTGCAGAAACTAAAAATGTTCTAACTACCATTTAATTGTTTCTTTACTTTGGCTCCATCATTTGGGGCCCTCCAGCAGGTTAATCCAGCCATCTTTAAACAGCGCACTTAAGTGTATATGTCCCTAAAAACACTGAGGCTGTGTTTACTATTAGCAGCCCAGAGCTACCTTGATATCCAGCCAATGCTAAAGAGGCTAACATTAGCACAAATGAATCCAGTCCTCCTCTGTCCTCGGTGTTAATTACACATGGCTAGCTGAGCGTTGACGGTTCCTCACTTCAGACCTGGCGCCGTTATCCTACTGGCTAACACCCAGGCTGGTTGTAATTGGCACTAATACAGCAATATAGTCCGGGGTCATGGGCTTGATTCTCTTCCAGGTTAATCTTGCCATCTTTGATAGAGTGCAGTTGGTCAGAGGTGAGCCAGTGTGTGTGTTTCAGGTCTATAAATCAAAGACTAGAAGGGAGAGATATTTCACCTGATTTTATTATCAACTGATATCCATAAAGAATGTGCTAAGAGAAAACTTCTAAGTGATCGCTGTACTGTGTTGAACTTGGCTGCGGACACGGAGTCAGATGTCTTTTCATCTCTTTGATGTTCAGGTTTGAACTGCAGATAGAGTAATATGAGCCCCGCTCAGCCTGCTATGGTTTATTTTATTTCCATCCCTGACTTTCAGATTCCTGTCAGTCCACATCTGGATGTTTTAATAGCAACCCTGCAACCCCACCCAACCCTCGCAATGCCGGGATAATCAGCACTTTTAATAACCCAAATGAGTTGGAAATTCAATTAATGCAGACATGCTTTAGATTTATGGATAGTTGGAATAGCCAGGCGTTTTCTGTGTGTACTGGGTGGAGTGAGCAGCGCTCTAATAACTCTTCTGCCTGTTGCGTCTACGTAGTGTTAATACACCTCCTGAATGCCTGACATTAAATTAGCCAGCCCCACACTTCCAAATTAAGCTCTTTAGAAAGCAGGCCAAATAACTTCATCAGTGAAGAAAACATGCTATCTGCCTTTAATCATGACCTCCAGTTACTGCGGAATGATGACTTTCAACTATTAACATCTGATGAATTGGTATGAGTAATTTGTACGTGTGACCCGAGGCACGTAATCATCGTAATTTGCTCAGTTCAAACATAAAAGCTCCTCATGAAAAAATAAACCCGGCTCAATTAGTAAGGCATGAGCGTCTCACTCTTTAATAGTTGCCCAATATTAAACCACAACAGAAGTCATTTTCTACTCATCAGGCCACAATAAGAAGTAGCCAATTAATAATTGAATACAGCCACAGTGTGTTTTTACACTACTACTACTACATTTTCAAATTCTACATACTATATTATTGGCTTAAAGTAGTACCAGCACCACAATTTAAAAATACTATACTGTCAACCAATCATATTCCATTCAGCCCTCAGGACACTTTGAGGCAAGTGAAGCTCCATAAAATGGAAGTAGAGTACCTTAATGTCGACTCCAGTCCAGTACATGACATGTTTGTCAGGGGCCCTCTGCTTCAACACATGACGCTGTAGGTATCCCTCTAGCGTAATTTCTCAATGCGCTGGCCGTCAAAGTCAGGTGACGGTGTAAAAAGAGCAAGAAAGTCTGCATATGGAGGTGGTGGGCTGGATAGATGGCTCAAACAAACACGGGACCTTTCCCTAACCCTACCCACGTATTGTGTGTTTCTAAACCTAAGGAAGTAGTTTTTGTAAACCTTTATTTTGAAAGTCTGTCTGAATGTTGCATATTTATTCTTGCTAATTGACTGCAACTGTGTTCAAGCAGAGGGCCACTGACCAATTGTCATTAATTGACGAGTTGGGAGTGAGAATGTGTTGCTGCTGAGGGTGGCCAACAATATATAATAAACACTCCTCATATGTAAGCCTACAAGCTGTTCTCTAATACTGTAACTGCAAACATTAGCTAGCCAACCAATTCACCTCACTTTACTCATTTCTTCAAGAATTGAAAGCAGCTGATCAACTAAGGAGCCAGAACATTTGAAGAATCATTCCAGTTTATTAAAACTCAGGCCTGTTTACCTCATCTGACGGGAAAGATGGTCCAAACTATGAAGATAAAATGTAATAAATGGGATTATCCTTTAAGATCATGCTCAAATAAGCTGATCATTAATTGCAGTTTACTAATGTCATCATCACTAATGCATCATGGGTTTGCACATACTCTGCTCTTCATCCCTTGTTCATAGAGTTAAAGACGGAGGAAGAGGAGGAGGGTTGTAGAATGTACAGACAGGGAGTCTGCTGGCTAGCGTAATATTAAAGGCGATAAACTCCAGGAAGCTGCCGACATTGTAGCGACCCCGCTGGTAGCCTAGCAACCAGAGTGTGTGTTGACAACAACAGCCGCCTGTCACATGGCTCGTGCTGAGAGTGTGGGCTGGGAGGGGCGCAAACACACACTATAAAGTACAGTCACACACAAAATAAGAAAAAAAATCCTACACCCACACCCACCCACAAGCACACACACATATAGAACACACTCACATGTCAAGTATCTGACACTTGCAGCCACACACCCAGAAATACACGCACGCACGCACGCACACACACACACACACACACACACACACACACACACACACACACACACCAACCCCCTCTCCCATATACACACACATTCATCCACACAAAATATACACACACAATGTAACACACACCTATCTCTGTGTCTACTGAACTATCAATAACATTATAATAACACATGACTTTCCAATAATGTAGATTCAATATTGATCACAAAGGTGTATTAACCCAGTAAATACTAATGACTACATTTAATTTGTTAAAGGAAAAGCCCAACACATATTGGTAGACAAAGTTGATTTTATCATTTTGAATGGGTCTTTACCATAACACTATGGCACTGTGTCACCTTCCTCTTTCCTCTTTGTGTTTGAACAGATCCATATTTGTTTTTTGTTACTTTTAACTTTCTTTTTTTCTTAAAAGGATCCATAAACATTTCACCTCTCAAAAATATATTATTATCTCTTTTAACATAACTCTATATTATTGCTTCTTTTACTGACCATTACAGGATCATATTAGTACATTTTCAACGCAGCGTCTCTTCTACTCACATTTCTACTTTGAATCTTTTTTCATAAAAGCTCCATATTCTTAGTTTTACAGTAGCTCCTAAAATATTCTCCATAAAAAACACATTAGTGTCTTTTATTCTCCAAAAGGTTCATAATAGATTCTGTCTTTGAAAAGCTGCTGATTAGTCTGTCTACTTCAAAAGCGCCATGTTAGTGCCTTCTCCTTTACAGTAAAAAGGTCCACATTAATGTCTTTTTATATTAAAAAGAAGTTCAAATGAATCCCCCTTTTCCCCCAAAGGTCTTGGTTTAGCCAGTATGCTTACTCAAAAAGATAAACTATATTAGTGTTTATTTAGCATGTTTTTCCCAAAAGGGAATGTCCATTTACCTGTGAATGACCACGTAAAAGTATTTTTTCTAATCTACAAAAAAAAGTACATATTAGTAACAGTTGAACATTTACAAAAGGTCCATATTACTGTTGTCTGTTCTACACATCCTTAAAAAGTACTGGTTTCCTAGGCCGGATAGCTCACCTGGTAGTGCTGGCACCCCATGTACCAAGGCTGAGTCCATGGTACATGGCAGCAGCCCAGGGTTTGCATCCGACCTGTGGCCCTTTGCTGCGTGTCTATGCAGTCTTTTCTGAGGTTGTGGGTTGTTGGGTGACAGTGTAGAGGTGATAGCTGGCTGTTAACATACCTTTACAGGCAAAGCATTTGATGTGGAAGTGTTTGTTCTGGACCCGGAGCGCCTCCCCTTTGCAGGGCTTCCCACAGTTCTGACAGGGGATAGGTCCTCCTCCTTGCTTTTGCTTCTGCTTCTGCTGCTCCAGAGGGCTGTGGACAGCCTGCTGCTGAAATACTGCAAGAGACAGAGACCATTTAGAACTTATTCTATACACAGGACAACTTTTAGAAGGTACACAAAGATGAGAACAGCCATTTGTTAGCTGTTGTTAGATGTATAAATCTGACCAGATAGTGTGGTCAACTTTTGATCTTTTGAGTTGAAGTCTTTATTCCACTTCTTCTATATACCTGTTACAAAATGCAAATATCCAGTGGAACAGGAGAGGCCATGATCTAAATCAGCAAATAGTCAACTGGTACCTAAAGGCTATTCCACTGAAAAGAAGTAAACTGTGACAAAAAAAACAAAACAGCAGGATATTTGGAAGCTGAATGTCTTTGGCATTAAATTAATACTGTTTTTTCATAGCTTTAATCCAAAAATATCTCCATCAATTCTGGCCTTTAAAACTCATATGAGTGACCTCTTTATTCATACATAGTATGTTTGTCCCCATTTTATCAGTCTTCAAACTTCAAGTACCATCCTTTTATTTAAATAAAAACACAAATCTTACTTTTTCTGCAGTGTCATCTTTTCTTTTTTAATCCAAAAATATCCAAGTCATCACATAGGATGTCATATCAGACAAGGTTATGAAAAAACAATGTTCTTTTATTTGTTTTTTCAGCTCACGCACACACAAAATGCTTTCCCATCACATAAGGGGATATTGCAGTGTCATTTATTCAGTGTCATTTGTTCTGTGGAGACGTAAACATAATGACCAACCCTAGCCCAAATCCATCCCTAAAGTTAACCTAACACTAACATTATCCTCAAACCCAGACTTAACTGTAAAACTGAAGGATTTATATTGTGGGGACCGGCTTTTTGTCCCCAAGAGGTCCTCACAGTGTGACTGTGTAGACAGTTTTATGTCCCCACAATGTGAGGATAGATATCTCACACACACAGAACAGAAAGCCTAGAAAGTCCACATAAACACTGATGTTGGATGAATGTCATATTGTTGACCAGTTCCCAATCGTTTTCAAAGCAGTTACTCTCCTTTGTTCCACACAGGAAGGAAAGTTCATGCCAAGAAAAACGATGTCAACATCAGCAATGAAAAACATAACAGAGCACAAGCAACATCCCAGAAGTGTCTGCGACAACACACAAAGTTAAAGGCACGCTGTAAGAGCCGAACATGTCCATCCTAACAGTATAATCTCTCCTCTCATCATAACCCTGGCAGAATATGCTCACATTCTGATCAGCCTTTCAATACTGACTGGGGCATCAGCCGAATAAAAGGCCCTTTGTGTTCCCAGGAAACATTTGTGTCGTCAGACCGGTTTCATTGGGCCTCCATGGTTACCAGTAATTGGGCTTGGAAAGAGGAGTTTATCAAATGAATTGATTTAGAAAAAAGAGGCAGAGAGAAAGGGAAATGTAGGGATAAAAGCTGTGAGCCAAACAGAGCTGCTTTCTGGAAACTCACCAAGAAATTTTTTCTTGTGGACATTATTTTTGTTTCAGGTTTGCTCAGTTCACTGGGTGTTTATTGGGTGTTTTGTTGGCACAATATTTTGACTTAGATTAAGTTGAAGCCACAGTGTTTTTCTCTACTCTATTATGTAGGAAAAAAGCACATTTAGCCAACCTGATACTTTTCTCCCTATAAAGTTAAAGGGACACTTGATTTAGACTGGAAGCTGCTGACAGACTGGATAAATTGTTGAACCTGGGTGGTCCTTACATATTTAATCAAAGTAAATCCTTTTTGGTCAGTCTGGCCACACCAACTCTTTGAGTTGAATCTGAAACATACTGGGTAGGGAAAAAAGAACAACTTAAAGTATTAGTTCAAGATTTTGGGAAATAAATGAGTGAGATGAGAAAACTGATATCAATCTCACATCTGTGCATTACAGCGCAGGGAAACAGCTAGTCTGGCTCTTTCCAAAGATAAGAATGAGCCAAACATTTACACTATACATGTAGTTTGTATAGCCATTACTCAAACAGAAATGTAAAAACAACAAGTTGTGGTTTTAGGGGGAATTACCTGCTGGAACTATTTCTTGGTGAACAAGTTTATCCATCTACCCAGTACTTCTGTGCAGCAGCGCCTCCAGGTAATAGCGTGACAAGGCTGCAGGAAGGTGTACACAGAAGCTTTTCTCCAAGAAATAGTTCTTGCATGTAATTCCCCCCCCTGGCCTTTTTACATTTCTGTTAAAATATAAGTTAAACAAGCAAGGAGCAACATTTTAATTGGTCAGCATTAGAAGTGTTGGCAGGGACATTTTTAAATTTAGGACAAAGTCACGCTAGCTGTTTCTCCCTGCTACCAGTTTTATGCTATACTAGGCTAGCCATTTCTATGTAACAATTTAGCCTCTGGCGGCAATGTTTCAGGGTTCTGGTGTAGCCAGCTGATATCTGGATAATGGAAGACCAGGCCAAGACTTCGTTCAATTAGCAACTTGAGACACAAGAATGATAATCTCTATAAACAGATATCTGTATGAATGCTAAATGGTTGTCAGTTGCCAACGGGTCCTGAGATTTCGGCGGACGCGTTCCGCCTCTTTTGCGCTCCATACGACCGCTTACCTGAAAGCAACTAAAGCACGCTCAAATGTGACTGGCCAATACTACTTGGCCAACAAACAGACTACAGATGGAAACCAGAAGGCCTCCCAAACCAAAGTGTTGTCTTTGCTTCAAGATTGTGTACGGTCTCCCACTGACTCACACTGACTAGGAGAAAGCCATGTCACATAATTTACACCTTGATGCTGAAACAGAGAGGGCAGTGGAAAGAGATAAGGAAACTGAGAAGATTACATGAAGCAGTTTGAAGGCAAAACCATATGTTTTGGTTCTGATGTATTTTTCTATCCCCATACATACAAAGAAGCATTTGTCCATTTGTGATACTGGGATACTTGACAGGGGAGTAAAAACAGCCACCAGTCTTTCCAGACCTACAGGAGCAACACATTCTTTAGCAAGTTTTACAAGGACCTCTCACCCACCGTGGGGAACAAAGCCATTTTTCAGCTTTGTAGTGTGTGTATATGTGTCCTAGACAAACATAGCCTCCCAAACCTCCTTAGATCTCTTTAGGATGATAACTTTGCATAATTTTATTTGGATAGGCCCGAGTTTTAAAAAGTCTAATTCCCAAATCATATTTTTATTGAAACAGAAAGTGAAAAAATGTACCTTTGTGATACTGAACGTTCTTGAGGTCAGCAAATATTCGAAATATAGAGAAAGGAAATTCTTCATAAAGTTTTCTTTGGATGATGCTAAAATCCACAGAGCTGCTTTCATTCAGTCCATATGTTTAGATTACAATCTGATCTCTGACTTGAAAATGTGCTGACTTCCAAATTGAATCAAGACAAGAATCGGGATTTTGGACAGTGTTTCCTAGATTCTCTTGTTGGCAGGAGGTGCAGCTTTATTGAAGCTACCCGTGTTGAGCGTACATGTGGGCATGCTAACCAATAAAGACAAGAATTTAGGAGGGGAAAGTCTGGAGTCCTCGTAAAAAAGGTCTGAGATCGAGTTGATTGCAACCATCTGGAAAAGACAACAGTCCAAACGCGAGAAAGGGCTGGGAGCAGGGAAGGCAGCAGGGATTGGTAGTCACAGGGGAGCCGGAGGGGTTCTGCCTCCTGATCTGACCCAGTGTGCATTGCTGCACCCTTGCACCTGTTGTGGGGGATCCAGTGTCTTTACTTCCTCTTCAAACAGCAAATAGAGTTGGAGGGCGGGGATGAAGAGGAGACAGGAGATGATCTTTTGGGCCAGATGTAGAATCCAGCAAGTTGTTCCAGACATTCAGGCTGCCAGTAACCAAGACAGTTGTAGTGATCTGTGATACGGGTCCAATAATCTGTCAGTGGGAGAGTGGTGAGGAGTTTGCTGTTTATACATACATAGAGTTAGCTGACAAAATGAATAACGAGTGGTCTGTTCAATCCATGTTAAACTGCTCCTTTTTCATGTTCTTCTTAAGGTTCTTGGCAGGGAAGGGATTTGCACCTTCATGTTTCAGGCATTTCAAGATTCCAAATAATTAGGGTAACAATCTATCTTTTTGCTGTAAGTATATTTTGCCAAATAGTCTGAGGGCAGACCACACAGGAGAGGATGGTACACTTTTCCCTGCTTTTCCCACAACAAGTCCATCATACCCTTAGTTTTGCACTGTTTCTTCTAGCTGGATCAGGCTGCATAGTCACGTATTTCCACGAAACAGTGGTACAAGTCTATCTCCCAAAATACACATGGATCACCTACATTGTGAGTGGATACGAAAATGCACTCCTACATAACGAAGGCATATTTTACACTGACTAATTTCTGTCCATGCAACAACTTATAGCAAGGAGGTCAAAGGTTCAGACCTCAATGCCCTAACAATTCTGTGCTCATAATCAATGTTTGGGGAAAAGATGGAATAAGGGCAGTTGTGCAGTTGTGCAAGAGGAGATGTGCAGCATGTAGAGTCCTTGTGCCAATGCCCTGTCTTCTCCAGGCCCAGTCGTCCCTATCATCAATCAGCCTTTCTGGTGTCTGTTCCTTGGCTGACGGCCACTACTGAAGCCATTGTCCCAAAGGTCGCAGCCAGGCAGGCAGCTATCTGAGCAATGCAACACCACATATCTGTGCAGCATACAGTCACACCAATGGAAGCCTCTGGGAACACATACTGACCATTGAAGTGGTTCTGCAGCTTACCACCTGCACACATGTACCATACAACTGCCCAAACATAGGCATGTAGCTGTGCAGATATATGACATCTCTTTCTGATGAAAGATGATAAATGAGAAGGTTCATATTCAGTGTCATGCTCAAAGACACTTAAACAGAATATACGTGGCTGCTGGGAATGAAACTGAGAACCTCCCAATGCACTCCCAAAGTTCACATGACACTGAAAACAGCAGAGAACAAAAATTCCACAGTAACCCTCGCAAACAATGTACCTTCAACATGAAAAGGCTTTTAAGGCACACATACATGTAATAAGGAGGCACGGG